CAATTGACTAAAATTGGTGTGGGTTTTTTTGGTTTTTAATGAAAGGGGATATAGTTTACAAAACAATACATTGGCTCCTGAGCAATCAATTGGCTCAGGAATTTTCAAGTTTGAAAAAGTCAGGGATGCCTCAAGGGCACGTAGCACATTCATGTGACCTTTAAAGCAATTCAGGCATCTGACCATTGGAGGGGGGGGAAAACCTTGTGTTGTCACTCACCAGGACCTGGCTGTGCTTGTACCCACGAAAGGACAAGGAAGAAACTGAAGGGGCAGTGCCAAAGCAAAAGGCACATTATTTTGGATGGCAGCTGTCACCCATCTGCCTACAGTCAGCCCTGTCTTGTTTCACTCACCTTTAGAGTTCAAATGTTAATAAGTATGTAGTTAGCAGGTGGTCGCTCACCAAAGACCCCTGACTAAAATTAGCAGTCCTAGGATAAGACAGGGTGACGGACTGGATCCAACCAGTGGGCTCAATTCAGAACTGACCCATCTTCTGTGGACCAGTTTTTCAGCTGGGCTTGGCTATCCACCTGTTGATCACCTGACGTTATATGATGGCAGGTGGTTCATCATCAAAGGAAGTATCATAGGCACCCCCAATTCTTTCTCCCCATCCCCAGAAATGGTTTGAATCTAAGCCAAGGCTACAAAGATTCCTGCCAAAAGTAGGTCCACTTTCAGCAGAGATTGGCTCCACTTGGGAATTGCTGAGTGGAACCAATCCCAGTGGAGTTTGTGGTGGGTGCAAAATTTTAAAGTTGCCATTATGAGCCCTTATACTGACCAAGAGACTTATACTTCAACCTGGAAGGATAAATACCTCCCATATCTTATGCAAGGGTCTGATGACCTCAGTGCCCTGGCTATATTCAAACATATTTGTCAAGTACATGTGGATACCTATTTGGATATCTGGAGGGCTTATTTGAACTGCCCCTAGGCACTGCATAGGCCCCAGAAACTACACTGCCCAAGGAGGCAATTTGATTCCTAAACACCCCTAGCTGTTTTTAAGTTGTTATTTTAAATGATCTGATCAAAGATCTCCCAAATCATATGTGTTTTTGGCACGTCAGGCGTTTAGATGCACCTTGTAAAGAAACAGCCTGGGTGATCTGATGCAACTTCTGATCAGATGGGCATTTTATGATATCTTCTTCAGGGCTGGATTAAGATCTTTAGAGTCCCTAAGTAAGGAAGAGATTATGGTGTGCCCCCTCTTGTGTAATTCAAAACAAAAACCAGAAAATAAGAATGTACTTTTCAAAATGACATAAAACTTATATGTATGATGAAATGCATCTACACATATGTCATGTGTGACTCATGGCAGGATCTGATTTTCTCAGATTATTTCAATCTACATTAGTAGGATGCCGCTGGTTTAGATGGGGATAAGCAACAAAAGAAGAACACAAAATGTGGGGAAAATATGTACTGGTGTATAAGAAAGTCCTGATTTTTCCCATGGTGACTGCTTCAATTTTTTTTTAATCCTTTCCCCTTCCTTCCTTCCTTCCTACCTACCTTCCTCTCTCTTTCTTTCTTTCTTTCTTTCTTTCTTTCTTTCTTTCTTTCTTGTGTCCTTACTTTGCTGGTGCCCTAATCCAGCACTGACCTTTTCAGACAAAGGTTTCTTATGCTGAGCAGGAAAGTGTGAAGGGGCATGTTCGGGTGAACATTGTTACAGCGGTCCCAGAGACTGGGATCTCGGATCACACATTCCTTGCTCCACAAATGTGCAAGTTCTTAGATTCTGCTTGTGTACAACACTGCAGACCACTGGTTTTTACTAGCACCAGTGCAGGCCAATGCATGCATCCCAAAGCCTTAGAATCTAGCTGATGAATCCATTACCTGAGGTTCATGCATTGCCAAGGAGAAGTTAGAATCATTTCCCCAAGACATCTAGAATTCTAGAGTTGTCGTACAAAAAGAAGAGCATGGGCATAAATATAACATTTGTTGGCACAGTAAGCAACGTTTTTGCCCCCTTGCCACTCAGAAAAGGAGAGTCATTAACTGTCATTGTGATAGGAGCATCAAGGAGCCACAGATGGAGCAACGGGAATCATTTACATGGAACATTAGTTTTAGGAGCTCCTTCAGGGCAGTCAAAGGAGGTGGCCTATGCATAATTTTCAACTTGCCAAGGCCTTAATGTGCCATAAACATAGAAGATGGGGACACAAGACAAAAAAATGCTATAAATGTGGGAGAAACCCCTCCCTTTGTGTCAAAGCAGCTATTTTTTCACATCAGACTCATACAACTCTTTCTTTCTGGCAGGAATCACTGTCAGCTCTAACGAACAGCAGGCATTAAACATTGTGGGGGATGAATTTTCCAGATACAATGAATGGTTTGTCTTATAATGTGGGACATGTAAAAAAAATTTTATTTTTTTTGTTAAAGCCTGTCGCCTTCTTCCTTTTGGATTGTTAGTTCATCTTCTAGCTCTTCGTCTTCTGACAGTTTACAATGATAGCCTAGACACATATGGTCAGCAGAATCCACCTCTAAAGTATTGTCTCTAAGCCAAAAAAAAACCCCACAACCTTAACACAAGTAATAAAAAAATATTGCAGCAGTTGGTGTTAATACAAACTACCGTTCATGCCTACATTGTACACATGCCATGCAAACTGGGATATGTGTGTGCTCTAAATAAAGAATTTTTTATAGCTGAGAATAGGAATGGGCAAACGTATCAATTTCACTTTCTCTCAGTTTGTCATTTTTCCAATTTTAAGTTCAGTTCTCCACATTTCCACATCAGTTTGTGATTTTTTAAAAATTCCACATGAAAATTTATCAGCCTTTTAGTGTGAATTTGTCCTAATATACAAATGTTGCATGCAATTTTTGTCTTACACATTTTTGCAAAGCTTATTTTGCCTAATATTTATGTTTTCTCTAATATAATACATTTTTGAATGTTATTTTCAGTATTATATGCAATGTTATCCTATCTTGACCTGCTTGGGCCATGTTCCCCAAACTACATCCACCCACCCACGAGCCCATGAACAGGAGAACACAGTTTCATCCTGCCTTGGCTATATGACCTGTTCCCAGCAGCAAGCAGGATCACACAGTCAAGGCAGCAGGATTCAATCCTCACTCATCATTTGATGAGAGCGGATTAAAGTGCTTCTCAGAATCGCTGTTTAAAGCAGCCCGTGCACTTCACCAAGTGGGTGGAAGAAGCACACAAGCTGTTTCAAACAGTGCTTTTGAGAAGTGATGTAAGGCAGTGCCCATGATCCTGCTTCAGCTGAAACAGAAGAACTGGGGCTGCCTAAAAGCAGTTCTCAGGCGTGCTTTTTGAAGCATCCATCCCACTCTACTTCCCAAGGAGAAGTGAGTAGCTGCTTCAGACAGCACCCACCCTTTAAGTGAGTAGGCAGCAGCAGTGGGGTTGGGGAATCTTGACCACCCCACCCACTGCCACCTACTCACTCAAAGGAAGATTGGCCTCATCCTCTTTTGAGAATCGCTTTTGAGAAGTTCTTTAAGGCATCCCCAGCACTCCATTTCAGCTGAAAGGGCAGTGGGGTTGCTACCTTAATGTACTTCTCAAAAACACTATTTGACTCAACCACTTCCTTCACAATTATGTTTGCAAAATTTTAAGACAGCCCCTGCACTCATAATTCAGGCTGAAATGTGAGCACAGGGGCTGTCATAAAGCCTTTACAAGTTTCCCCACATTCCCTTTTAAAATGTTGCGACTGGGAGCTTAAAGGGGGAGAGGAAAATTTGGAATACTGTGCATTTGCCAGGTGGGCAGCCCCATTCCTCTGTCAATCACATGAAATCATATCATTGAGAGACTGAGTGGTCCCACTCACCTGTCAAATTTGTCCTGCAAGGCCAATCCTGATAATAATCTATCTCATGGAGCCAAAGTCCCCCCCTCCCCCGCTTTACTTTAATATACATATTTTGTACACATTACGTGGCTGGAAAACTGCATTGCAAAAAAATAAATAAATTGCTTATTGTTTCTGAAAGTGCAGACACAGCTGTCAACTTTTCCCTTTTCTTATGAGGAATCCTATTCGGAATAATGGAATTTCCCTTAAAAAAAGGAAAACGTTGGCAGCTATGAGTGCAGTTGAGATAGATCCAGCTTTAAATATGAATTGACTTTTCCCCCTTTCCCTAGCTAAGAATGGCAATACGCTGTATACTGTATAATGAACACTCCAGTGCTGGGTCTCTCCTTAGATACTCCCACCTACCCACACCTGTTTCCCAGTGAGGCCAATTGTTGCCAGGACTTCAGTAACTTCGGACTTATCCAGACTTCCACTTGTCCCACCACTTTCCCAAGGGAAAACCCACTCACTACTGCTGAATTGTAGCAAATGTCAGTCGTGTTTTTCACAGACTGATGTTTGCTCCAAATCAGCACTAAAGAGCAGGTTTTCCCGGGGAATGTGGCAGGAGGAACAGAAAAGCACTCGGAGCCATGTCTAGAAAGCATGGGACAAGCAGAAGCCCTTGGACTGGATATTTTCAGATTCATTTACAACATTGCATTCTGAAATGCTTCTCGTTTCTGTTTTTAAATGTTTTCCAATGTTTTGGGAGCATTAGAGATTGCCTGACGAAAACCTTAAAGAAAGTTTGGTTGGTTACCAGCTCTTTGTCCATGTCAGATGCAGTGTTGCATGAAGGCGTATGTTACTCATACTTTACAGGCATATGATGCGAGAACAGAAAGCACTACAGAATTGGCTGCAGTCTGGGCACTGATTGGCTGCTCCCAGTATAAATACTGCAGAATAATAATTTTGAGGTTTCCTCTCATTGTTCCTCCTGAAGCTCCTACTGCTGTCCTTTTGTTCTTATTCCAGCATTACAATGGCTCTTCTATATGCATAGGAAGCTTTCTTATACCAATTCAGACCACTGGCCTATACAGCGCAGTATTGTCCACACTAATTAGCAGCCCGTTTTCAGGCTGGGGTTTCTCACAACCCACCTGGAAATGCAGGTAACTGAACCTGGGACCTTCTGCATGCAAAGCAGAGGCTCTCTACCACTGAGCCATGATCCTTCCTTTCTGGACATCTGCTTTATCTCTCCAATATACTGACCCGAATGTGAATTATTCACCTGGGTGTCAGTAGTACCAGTCTTCCCCTGTACCTTCCCAATCTCCACAACTGCCCCATGGACAATGACCAGCGTCTGGATCCCAATTTCCCATTGGCTTTGACTTACTGACTAGTTTGGGCATGGAGATTTAATCTCCGTTTGATGGCTCAATGTAGGCGGCCCAGACTTTGCAAATGCTGTTCCTGCCCCGACTACCCTTGATTCGCTCACGTGGCACCTTAGCACCTTCCATGTTCTGTCTCCTTTCCCATCTTCCATATTCTCTCCATAACATCCCAAGCTGTAGATGATGGCAGGCTCCAATGACACATCTCTCTGGGTTTGCCCTCCTGCCTGCACATATACGCATGAGCCCAGCCCTTTGTCTTTTGTTTACAGGCCATTCCTCCTCGCTTCACTTCCAGATTTACCACGTTTAGAAAGACAACGTGACCTACTTAGGCTCCCTGACCTAGTTATAGCAGAAACACTGACTCCAAATGCTCACTCTAGGAAAAAAAAGAAGAAAAAAGGACAAAGGCAGTGGAGCATGGAGAGAAATATTATCATGATTGTTGCTAATGAAAACAAACCCACCCGTATTGAGCTGCCTGCTGTTGCCTTTTTCAATCACTGCTGTTTCCCTGAGGGATACTAGGCGTTCAGCTGCTCTTCCACTTCTGCAACTCTGGCACTACCATCCAGCACCATCCTGACCTTTCCTTTATTTTCTCTGCTGCTCAAACCTTAAACTATCTTTCTTTCTTTTTTTAAAAAAAAGTATTGGCTGCAGTAGCCTGCTTGCTCATGAGAACATAAAAAGAACCCTGCTGGATTTAACCAATGGCCCATTTAGTCCAGCATTTCATTTCCACCATGGCCAACCAGATGTCATTGAGAAGCTCACAAGCAAGACATGAGCACAACAGCACCCTCTCCACTTGAAATCCCCAGCAACTGATATAAGAGGCATGTTGCCTCTGGGTTGGATGAGGTAACTGTTAGGTGGATTTGTAGTTGGTTGACTGACTGAACCCAAAAAGTGCTCATTAATGGTTTCTCGCCCTCCTGAGAAAAAGTGACAAGTGAGGTGCCGCAGGGTTCTGTCCTGGGCCCGTTGTTGTTCAACGTCTTCATGAAGGGCCTGGATGAAGGAATTGAGGGGATGCTCATAAAGTTTGCAGATGATGCCAGATTGGGAGGGGGTAACTAAAGCTGCAGAATAGAAAAATCGGGATTCAATATGACCTAAACATATTGGAAAAGTGAACCATCAAAATAAATTTCAATAGAGACAAATGTAAGGTTCTGCACTTAAGCAGGAAGACCCAGAAGCACAAATATAAGATGAGAGACACCTGGCTTACTAGTAGTACATGTGAAGTCTTGGTGGACCACAAGCTTAACATGAGTCAACAGTGTGATACAGCAGCAAAAAAAAGCTAACCCTATTCTAGGCTGCATCAACAGAAGTATAGTGTCCAGATCAAGGGAAGTAATAGTACCACTCTATTCTGCCTTAATCAGACCACACTTGGAATACTGTGTCCAGTTCTGGGCACCAGTTCTGGATGTTGACAAGCTGGAACGTGTGCCAAGGAAGGCAACCAAGATGATCAAGGGTCTGGAAACCAAGCCTTATGAGTAACGGTTGAAGGAGCTGGGTATGTTTAGCCTGGAAAAGAGGAGACTGAGAGGAGATATGATAGCCATCTTCAAATATCTTAAGGGTTGTCACATGAAGATGGAACAAGCTTGTTTTCTCCTGCCCTGGAGGGTAGGACTCAGACCAGTGGATTCAAGGTCCAAGAAAGGGGATTCTGATGGAACATCAGGGAGAACTTTCCGACATTAAAAAGTGCTTGTCAGTGGAACATTGTCAACTTTCCTTCCTTGGAGGTTTTTAAGCAGAGATTGGATGGCCACCTGTCATGGATGCTTTAGTTGAGATTCCTGCATTGCAGGGGCTTGGACTAGATGACCCTTGGGTCCCTCCTAACTTTATGACTCAATGTTTCTAAGAGATGGCAAATGTTTTACCTGCTCTGCAGTTGTTCTAACAGTTGTGTCTCTCCTGTCTCTGATGGGGCTTCATTGCGCTCTATAGATAACAGTGTGAAGAGAGAGAAAAGTGGCAGCACGTTTGTGTCTCTTGAAACAGCTACTTCTGTCCTGTCACTTGCTTTCTGACTTGCTTCACTTCATCTTTTTCTTCTAATTCTTCTGCAAATCTGCAGGAAATGAGAAGAGACGCAACAACCAGGAAGTAGTGCTGTCAAGATAGTAAGATAAGGAAGTGAACCAGCATACCTCAAACTAAGGATCTAGCAGCATAGCAGCCGTAACAAAAAGTGAAAGGAAGTTAGAGGGAAATCCAAATTTACCTGCTACCAGACTTGCACAAAACAGAGCTTTGCATCCTCCCATGGCTCTGCTTCCAAACATGTTGATTCAGGTTTTAGAAGGAAAGCATAGAGTTTTGGATCTGCAAGGGGAGAGTCACTTAAGAAGATTCAAAGGCTAACTTACGAATGTACCAAACTAACAATTTTTTCAACAAGGCAGTGTATTTTAAGAGCATCTATTATTTTCATTTTTATATCTTGTGATAACCAGAAAGTCAAAGTACTCCTAAGAAATAGTCATAAGTGGGTTGAAATACTGGTGCAAATATTTCCACCCATCTTCAGTGCTCACGTCTCATCTCTCTAGTTGACATATGTCCAAGAAACAGGGCTGGCCTGCCCATGAAGCAGTGCCCCCACCCTTCCAGCCTCTTCCATCATGGGCAGAAAAGTGGCACTGGTAGTGATGCTGGCTTCTGGTAAGATCTCGTGAGATCTTGACAAAATATCACGAGACCTTGAGTGCATGAGATCTCATGAGATTTCAGCGAGATCTCATGAGATATCACTAGAAACCGTTGGCAGTAGCATCACTGCTTCACAGGCACTGCAACACTTCTCAGGTAAGGGAGGCAGCAGCGGGGTAGAGCAGTGCTGGGGCAGTGGCGGGGGGGCGCATCACCTTAAGCAGTAGAACAGGACATGTTGCCCCTGTCGAGAATTATACCCTGGCATGCAGTTGGACACATTAGCAAACAAGGACTTATGAACCTCTTCTGACCACAATGCCACACGAATAGGAGTACATACTTGCCTCCTTATCCCTGTCCCGCCCCCCCTCACTGCCTACAAAAGCAGCGATGAACCACCTAGAGCTTTTGATGATTAAGCAGTGTATAAATCCTGTTAAATAAAAATAAACAAATATTTAAAATGGATCTAATGGCTGCACATTCAGGAACAATACCCTTTCACCTCATATCCTTTCCAAACTCACAAATTGTCTCCACTTCAGGCTGCCTGCAAACTCAGGAAGGTGCACTTATTGTTGATACTTCCTTCATGCATCAAAGCTTTCATTCACAACATTGCAATGAAATTCTTGTCTGTGCATTGTTGGTTTTAACTCTTGTTTTTCCACACAGAGAAGCTGACTGGACTGGCAGCTGAATCTTTATTTGACACTGATGAAGGTGTTGTGTCTTCCGCCACACTTGAAGCAGCAGGCTAGTTTGGAGGGTGGGTCAGGAGATGCTATGTAGCAAATGCAGTTCTGCCTTCCACTGTGCACCCCAGCATCTGCTGCCTGAGGCATTTGCCTCACATTGTCTAATGATAGGACAAGCCCTCTAAATACTCATAAGGCAAAAAAAGTCATCACACCTGCAGCTAATGCCTTCCTCATGTTACTATCCCTTCTTTGTATAGTACATTTTAAAGTTTTCACCTAACCCCACAGCCAGCTTGCGTGAGGTAGGCTAGTTCTGAGTGATTGTGTCTTGGCCCTTGCCACTGATTGAGCTCCACGGACAACCTCCCCCCCCCCCCAATCCATATACTTTATCCACTGAGCCACAATGAGACATTATGGGGGAAAGTCACTGAAGGAGATACTTTTTTTATAAGCACATTCTCATTTAGCTTTACCACAGTGAATAACTTTTGTGTCCTTTGTTTTAAAAGAAACTTAATTTCTCATTTCAGGCTCTAATCATTTTTGTGTACCTTGCTGGGATCAAGCTGTGTTTCAGCTCCATTACTGTTTATGAAATGTACTTATTTTCAATGTCACAAAGTAATCTGTTGCATGCAAAACCTCACTATGTACAATTGTGATAAGCACACATTAAAATCTGCTTCCGTCCAACGACAAGTGTGAGATTGACTTTAAGATGGCAGCGCTAATGATGATGGCGATGATCATCATAATGATGATGATAAATGACTTCTGTTTATTCCTCTTTGAGGTAATGAGCCTTTAATGTCAACAACACTTTTTCACGGGTGCAGGCCTAGAAATCTACTAGGTTTCTGAGGATTTTATCTATCTATTTATTCTTAGAGCTGCAAAGTTAACATTTAGATTTCAGAGTAGTTTTCTTTCTTCACCATCCAGAGCTGAGGGGTTAAACGGATGGATAGTACCTTCTCATGGAGGGTCAAGGAAGGACCACACCAATGTCTGAGTGGGAAATCCCACACTTATCACTGAGCAGTACAAGGTGCACCAGATAGTAAATGAACACCCAGTTCATCACTCTGTGTCATACGTGTGGAGGAAAAAACTTAAACACGTTGCAGAGTTTAGCAGGGTTTCCAAAAAAATAGACCAGAGGCAATATTTCATCCAGCAGAGCTTTTACGTGTGCTGAAGGCAAATGTAGCATAATGCTTATCAAATCCACTACAATCAGGATTGACTCAGTCCATACAGAGTTGCAGCACTTACAAAACTTACAAGACTAAACCTTAACGCTATACAGAAACAGAAACACCACACCAGAAGGAAGAGAGAGAAAGAGAAAAGGTCCAGGCTCCTTCTGGCCTATATTTATAGTCAGCACGACTCTGCAGAATAGAGATAAGAGAACTACTTCAAAGCAGCTTCCCAGAAGGT